TGAGCAGCACCGATGTCGCGAGAGCACGGGCGAAACAAGCTGAACAGCGCCGTTTCCGAACAGGTGAACGGCTGATTGCTGGACTCTGACTTTCGCGTCTTGTATCATAACTCTGCGCGGGATGCACAAGTCAGAACCGCACATGCAGGCGACGCCGTCGAACACCTCCGCGACGCACCTGCCCGTCTCATCAGAAGATCCTGGGGTTGGTTCGTCTCCGCTCGCGAAACTGTCGGCTGCACAATACGGGCGGGTCGTTTCTTGGTGGCCCACGACGCTGTCCAGATCCCCTGGCGCTGGGACGTACTCAGAATTGTGTATCTGTCTTTGTGGACCACCTGCGTGTCTCCTTGAAAGCGGCGGCAATTCCAAGCGCATTGCTACGAATCCGCGACTGCACTGGGCAGCGTCGCAAAAAAAATAAAAACCTTCACGCGGCTTGCAGAATCAGCAACGCAAGGAAGCAAATCCGCACCCAAGTCTCAAGCCACGTCTTTCAAAGGGTGGCCAGAAGCATCAAAATCGGCGCAAAGCTGCGCACTTCAGCAACCTGCACACGGTCAGTCGCGATGGCTCCGCTGTGGGAAACCATAGCTCGGCATACAGCTGCTTCTCAAAAAGCGGTCTGGCCTCCCACAGTTTACACCAACTCCGAATTGCATCGCAACGTGGCCGTCTCAATTATAATAGCAACGCCCTGTCGCCATCACTGCTCGCAGCATTCGCGGGAGCTGAATTGCCGGCGCTGCCGCCGGCAAGTTGCGAATCGTATCGTGGGTTTTCCGGGCGCAAGCGTCTTGCGACGCTGCTCACAGCGCGTTCGGCATTTTCGCCACTTCCGCGATGCTACGCCAGCATGGCCATAGTGCCTTGGGCACGTTGGCGCTGAAAAGATACGAAACGTGATCCGACTATACAAACAGACACATACACACACAAACAAATAGCCTGGCGAAGGACCCAACCATATGCAGCCGCGAAAACAGCAACTGTGAATATCGTCTTCGGTGGAACCCCCTTATGGGGCCGCGAACGCTGAAACGCTGTACTGGGTGGGGGAAACGCATGCGAACACCAACACTGAAGCCTTCGGTGGAGCTCCCAATTTGGCCACGAAACGCGGGAAACGCATGCGAACACCGCTACTGGGGCCTTCAGTGGAGCTCCGTATGGAGCCACGAAGCGCTGCACTGGATGGGGGAAACACACGCTGACACCGCCACTGGGGCCTTCGGTCGAACTCTCTATGGGGCCCTGAAGCGCCGTGGTGGGAAGGGAAACGCACGCGGGCACCGCAACTGGGGCCTTCGGTGGAGCTCCCTATGGGGCCACGAAGCGCTGCACTGGGTTAGGGGAAACGCATGCGGACACTGCCGTTGGGGCCTTCGGAGGCGCTCCCTATGGGGCCACGAAGCTCTATAGTTCGGGGAGACGTAAGACTCGGGTACGGGGGACTCGGGTTGGCCTGACGGGGCCATCATAAAAATGGCGAGACCCATTATGAAATTTGACGCGAGCTCACGCCGCAAACATCCCACGAAAACCGGACCGTCAAAATCCAAGACGCGGTCGTCAAAAAACGCCGACAAACCCGAGTTCTGGCTTACTCGAGTCTTACGTTTCCCCGGATAGTGGGCGGGGGGAACGCATGCGGACACCGCCACTGGGGCCCTCGGTGGAACTCCCTGTGTGGCCACGAAACCCTGCACTGGGTGGGGGTAGCGCATGCGGACACCGCCACTGGGGCCTTCGGTGGTGCTCCCTATGGGGCCACGAAACGCCGCGTGGAGTTCCCTGTGGAGTCACGAAACGCTGCACTGGGTGGGGGGGGGGAGGCACACGCGGACACCGCTACTGGGGCCTTCGGTGGAGCTCCCTATGGGACCACGAAAAGCCGTAATGGACGGGGGAAACACATGCGGACACCGCCATTGGGACCTTCGGCGGAGCTCCCTATGGGACAACGAAGCGTTGCATTGGGCGGGGGAAATGCATGCGAACACAGTCACTGGGGCCTTCGGCGGAGGTCCCTATGAGGCCGCGAAGCGTGCGGGGGGTACCGAAACGGGAACGGCGGTGCCATGCAAACTCTCCCACTGGGGCCTTAGGCGAAGGTCCCTATACGGACAGGAAACGTGTGAGGGGTGCGCCGAAATGGGGCGGACGAGAGGCGTAATATATAGGCACACGCGTAAAACACATAAAAGTCGAGCCAGAGGAGAGGGGCAATCTATAGGTACATGCGTAAAACGCATGGGATTCAAGCCCGAGGGAAGGAGCAAGATATTGGAACATATGTAAATACACGCAGGATCCGAAGCAAAATATAAGAACTCGAGCCCCAGGGCACAGGCAATCGATAGGGACATACGTAAAGCACATAGGATTCGAGCCACAGGGGAGAAGCAACATAGATGGTCATACTTGAAACGCGTAGGATTCGAGCCACACAGGAGGGGCAAGCTTCAGGCACATACTTTAAAACACATGGGATTCGAACCCCAGAAGGGGCGAGCCATAGGAACATATGTGGAACAAACAAATTCGAGCCGGAAGAGAGGGGCAATCTAGGGGAACAGACGTAAACATACACACACAGGCTTCGAGCCCCAGGAAAAGGGCATTGCAGCTGAAATCGAACCAAATACACTATAGTGAACAACCGGTGAAACGCCTTCCCTGGGCCTCCCCCGCTGCGAAGACTCTTGTGGAAGAAAGTCTTCGAGCACTGCTAGAACTCCCTGGCAAAACGCCAATAGGGAAAGAGGCCCCCCAGAGGCCCCCCAGAGGCACACGAAAACGTGAACTTTCCACTGACCTCAATCCTCAAACATCGATCCTCGAGAACGTTACTGGGGAGACCGGCTCAGAGGGGGGGGGGCGCCATCAAGCTGGAAGCCGCGACGGATCGACGATAGGCCCCGGGTAGCAAATCCCCGCGTTCTTCGGCGAGGCGGGCTGTCGGGCCCATTGCAGGCGATCAATGTTATCCTTCCCCTCGAGTTGCCCCGTCAGAACCTCGATCCTCGAACCCCGAAGCTCGAGCCCACGCCCCCCCGGCGGCGCCGCGGCGAAGCGCTCGGGGAGCCTAAGACTTCAGGATTCTGGGTTGGCCTCGCGCGCACCCTGAAAGAGCGCGAGGTCCAGGCGGAGAGAAACGTGACAGCCACCGATAATTACGACGGCGACGACGAGCGGCGACGGCGAAAACGAGGAAAACGTTCGCATAATTTGACTACGGCGGCGTCCGTCTGGATGAACCCGCCGGTGTAGCAGGAGCTACGGTCCCTATGGGGCCACATGTGGTCGTTGTGGTCGTACCTCTGCTGCCGAGGACGGCAGATGAACGATCGTAGCGACGGACGACGACAGCTAAGCGCTGGGGGGGGCCGCCTCGGGAGGGCGGGGCGGAACTCGTCGGCGTCCTCCCCGTAGACCTCCTTGGCCTGCAGTGGAGGCCGCGATGGAGGGCGAAGCCAGGACCGGCCGAGGGGGAGGAGGGAAAGGAGGGGGGGAGTTGGCGAGGGGGAGGCAGAAGAGGGGGACCCTGACATCCTCGCGTCGCGAACACATCACAACTTGAGGTTTTTGTTCCCTTTCGGCTTCCCGGGGCGCTCACCAGCCCTCGGGACCGTCTAAAACGGCCTGGACTGGAAAACCAGTCCAGGGAAAGGGGTCAAGACCACCTGATGAGTCACAGTATGAAATAATCCCGGCGAAAGGCCCAACCATTTGCAGTTGCGAGTACCGTCGTTGTGGGCATCGCCCTCGGTGGAGCTCCTGATTGGGCCTCGAAGCGTGTGAAGGGTGCGCCGAATTGGGGCAGGGCGGCCACACGGGGGCCCCCCATGTGGCCATGTGAGGGGCGTGCCGAAATGGATAGGGGCCGCCATGCGGGCGCTGTCAGTGGCTCGCTCGGTGGAGCTCCCATGGATGGGACCATGAAACGTTCGAGGATACGCAGCAACGGGCGAGGGCGGCCGCATGTGGCACACCCTTTGGGGCCTTCGGTGGAGCTCCCTCTGGGGCCATGATCCCCCCGTCCGTCCGTCCGTCCGTCCGTCGGTGGCCCTAGCGGTGTCCCGCGGTGTCCCGTGGTCTTCCATGGTGTCCCGTGCTGTCCGCCGCTGCTAGGGCGAAGTCAAGACAAATGTTTCTCCCCCGTCCGTCCGTCCGTCCGTCCGTCCGTCCGGCGGTGGCCCTAGCGCTGTCCCGCGGTGTCCCGTGGTGTCCCGTGGTGTCCAGTGGAGTGAGATCGATCGTGAGACTGATAGTGAGATCGATACTGAGATCGATGTGGTGCCCGAAGTGTCCCGTGGTGTCCTATGGTGTTCCGTCGAGTGAGATCGATAATGAGATCGATTGTGAGATCGACAAATTTCCCGTGGTGCCCCGTGGTGTCCCGTGGTGTCCCGTTGAGTGAGATCGATAATGAGATCGATGTGGTGCCCCGAGGTGTCCCGTGGTGTCCCGTGGTGTCCCAAAAAGTGGCATCGATAGTGAGATCAACAAGTGTCCCATGGTGTTCCGTTGAGTGAGATCGATAAACATGTGGATAGTGAAATCGATAATGAGATCGATGTGGTGTCCCTCATCTCCCCGCCTCCTCCTCCTCCTCCTCCTCCTCCTCCTCCCCTCCTCCTCCTGCCCTCCCCTCCCTCCTCCCTCCTCCCTCCTCCCTCCTCCTCCTCCTCTCCTTCCTCCTTCCTCCTTCCTCATCCTCCCTCCCTCCTCCCTCCCTCTCCTTCCTCCCTCCTCCCTCTCCCCTCCTCTCCTCCTCCTCCTCCTCCTCTTCCTCCTCCTCCTCCTCCTCCTCCTCCTCCTCCTCCTCCTCCTCCTCCGCCTTCTCCTCCTATCCCCCGCGCCGCAGGTCGCGCCCCCCCTGCCTCGCGGCCGTGCGCCCCCGCGCGGGCGCCATTGGCGGGGGTGGCCGAGGCCTGCGTTTTCCTCGGCGCGATTCGCAGGGGCGCAGCCGAGGAGAGCCGATACCATACGAGCACATGCAGAAGGAATGGCGCGACTGGCACGACGAGGTGCCCTGGCGTCAGCACTCGCCATCGAGCTGGAGGAGGAGGTCAGTGAACCGCAACCAGGGCCTAGACGAGAACATCCTGGACATGGTGGAGGCCGCCACGAGCGCCGCGGTCTCGGCGGCAGTGAAGGCAGCAGTGGAGGCGGCCTCGGACAAGGCGGTGGTGGCTCGACCGCGGCCGTCGCAGGCGCCAAGCGTGTGCCCCTCGCAGGCGCCCAGCTTGGCCATCAAGGACATCGAGAGGGACGAGGCGCCACTGCAGCCGCCGCCAGGGCAATTCACCATCCCCGCGAGGCTTCGAGCGAAGAGCAGGAGCCGTTGCGTGGAGGGTGCCGAGAACAAGCAGGTCCACCAGCATCGGGCGAGGGCAACAAGGAGCAGCGGAACACCATAAGGCTGGGTGGGGTCGAACCCGATCTTCCCCGAGCGGCTCCAGGTCGGAGTGGAGGTGCAGGAGTACACGAAGGGGAAGAAGGAGAACAAGAAGAAGAAAGGCAAGTCTTCGAGAAGGCGTCGGAGGAGCCGAACCAGGTCGGAGGAGCCGATGGAGGTCAACTGAAGCTGCCTGAGGACGGCGTGCGGGCGGAGGCACTGCTCGAGGTACCGTCCTTCCCCAAGCTGAGCTACCTGGGCGGCCACGCCACTGTTTGGCACGACTTGGTGAGCGAGGACGGCGGCGGTGAGGATGAGGCGCAGGTCTAGAACCAGTCCGAGGAGGAGGTGATCTACAAGGAGAAGTTCGCGGCTGAACACTCGTGAAACCAGGTGCTGGAGGCCAACACGGTGGTGACCTTCAAGTGGGAGCAGGTGAAGGCCAGTCGCAGGCTCGACAGCGATGTGGTCATCGGCGTCATCAAGAACAAGGGCGTGAAGGAGGAGAAGGGTGAGCAGCAGTTGCAGGAGCAGGAGTTGTGCAAAGTTCCCATTGGTAATGTTGGAGAAGTCTTCGAGAGCTCTAGACAACGGGCCTCCGCGTCTGGAGCTTCCGGTGGTAGTGTTGGAGACTTCCTGAAGCAGCTGGGGCACGAGGAGGTGAGCAAGCTCATCCTCGAGGCGGGCGCAGGCGTCACCGTGGAGGAGTTCATCCACTGGGCGTCGGCGTCCTTCACAGCAGGGAGTTTGGCCAGCATGGGCTGAACAACAAGGTGGCGAGTCCTGAAGTTTCGGCTTCAGTGAGTCGCAAGGCCTGAGGGCCTCAGGGGGAGTTGCAGCTTCAAGAGTTCTCGTCGGGCCTGCCCCTCGGTTTTGCCTCGGGCCCTGGGTCCGCCTGCCGTCCCGTCGGCACTCAAGGGGCTGCAACTCTCCTTGAGGTCGGGTCGGCGCGTGCGCCGTGCGTCGGCCAGGCCCGCGGATAGACCCGCGGTCGCACAGTGGCTACCCTCGCTACCCTCGCTACCCTCCTCCTCCTCCTCCTCCTCCTCCTCCTCCTCCTCCTCCTCCTCCTCCTCCTCCTCCTCCTCATCCTCCTCTCCTCCTCCTCCTCCTCCTCCTCCTCCTCCTCCTCCTCCTCCTCCTTCTTCTGTAGCCATTTTGGCAGGGGAGCGCACGGATACCGCTACTCCGCGGCCAGAGCTAGGACTGTTCAGTCCGACACCCTCTTGCACCAGCTGGTCCGCCCCAGTTCGGTGCCTGCCTCCCGCTGCCCGCGGGTGCGCTCAGCCGCTGCGATGTCCAGCGGCGATGGCTGGCGTGATGGAGGCAATTCTCGTTCCCGTCAGCAGTACCAGGACAGGTACCGCTGGAACTTCAAGAACAACCGCTGCTGTTTTCAGCGCGCGGGCCCACTCGCGTCCAACCCAGCGGCTGATCGCCGTCCACGGGGGCAGTGGGCATTTGGGCCGCCAGCCATCGCGGGCTCGCCGTTCTAAGAGAAGCCTGCTGCTGGATCGCCATTCGTCGACCCCGCGCCCGCGGAAGCGGCGAATGCTGACGCGGCTGGCGCTGGCAAGGGCAAAAGCCGTGGCAGGAAGGCTCCCCCACTGCCGCGCGGGCAGGCCAAGGCCAAGGCCAGCGCCGCGGCAGCGGGGATCGACAGGCGTCCGTGGGTCTAGCACCAGGGCTGGCACCCACGGGGAGGTGCTACGGAGGCCCCCGCGCCCGCGGACCCGCTTGCTACGCTTCGGCCCAAGCTCGGAGACAAGAGCGCGGAGGAGCTGGCGCGGGCGCCGGCCCTCCTTGAGGAGGCCGAGGCGCCGCCTCCCGCGGCCCCTCGGCAGCCCCTCCTGGAGGAGGACGTCTCGACCAAGGGCTGCGCCTGCCGTCGGGCCAAAGCGCGGCTCGAGCGCTGCGCCCAGAAGGTGCTGGAGGGCGAGGCCCGGCTTCAAGAAGCTCGCGAGGCCGACGACCAAGGAGTTCAGGCGGCCTTGGAGACCAAGCGTTCCTGGGAGGAGGCGCGCGCGAAGCAGCTGCCGCCCACAGCGCCGTCGTCATCCTCTCCTGCGGGCACTTCGTCGCTCAACCCGCCCACGCTCCTCAGCAACGAGAGCGAGATTGAGGGGCTCACTGCCATCGACGGCCCAATGTTCTGCACGGACGGTCTCGTGCTCGACCCTGCTGAGCTGCGCGGGTGGGGGCGCGACAAGACCAACCTTCGGCGGGCACCAAAACGGATATCGCCAAGGTGCTCGGCTCCACCGCCGAGAACATGACCGCCCTGCGCGAGGAAGCCAAGCAGACCTCCTCGCGGATGCAGGCCAAGCGCAGACGCGCTGCTGCGGCTGCTGGCGACGCTGAGGTTAGTACCAGCGCTGCTGCTCAGCCTAATGGCGACGCCGCTGCTGAGCCCCCTGGCAGCAATGGCGGCCCTGCAGCTGCTGGCCCACAGGGACCTGAGGACCTTCGAGCTGCAGCCAGGCGCATGGCCAAGGAAACGTTCGACTCAGCGCGTGCCCCTGCAGGGCGGGGGGTTTTATCGGCACCCGCTGCTTAGGCCAGCCTTCGGCCGTCGACTATGGCGACATCTTCATGAGCTTAGATGAAGAGCACGCGTTCGACCCCTTGGAGTATACCAGCGGCCTCACCAATGTCACTCTGCATGGCGGGCATCCTTGGCCCCAGCATGGAGACATTCTGACGGCTACTGAGGAGGCCAACTTCCACAATCACGCAGCTCAGCCCCTCGGCAAGGCAAGCCAGAGACAGGGTCATAACCCCCAGCGCAAAACGGCGATCTACCATCGCGAACTGCTCGGGAGACGGTTGCGCTCGTTCACCGCCCGATGGCTCCCTGATGTCAGTGTTCCCAACTAAGCTGCAGACGCTGCTGATTGGAGGAGGCACAGCACACCGTTCGTGACCTGCTTCTTGGCTCAGCCAGCCCTTCGGCCGCTTGTCGAGGAGGCCACGGCGGCCGCGAGCCACGGCGGCACTGCGGCGGCGGCGCTGGACATGGCCGCCTGCATCTGCGAGCGCGCTTGGCGCGCCAGGCGCAATCAGAGGGCGCGCAAATTGAGGGTGCTTCGTGACTTGGAGTCCGAGGACCACAAGGCCTGGCAGGTGGAGCTGCTGCGTCAGGCCGACAGCTTCAAGGAGGCCGAAGAGATCCTGGATTTCCTGGCACCACATCGGCGTTCACAGGATGGCTTCACAGTGGCGCTCCCCTTTGGGGTACGGCCTCACGTGGCAGGCTTCGGCAGCACGATCGTCGAGCTAGTGCCCATCTTAATTTCGGGGCGGAGGGCGCAGGAATTCAGCCCCTGATAGGCAGAGCCCTCCGCCCACATGGACGTCTGGCTCAACATGTTCCGAGGCCAGCGACGTTGAGCAAGAGTAAGGCCACGCGTGGATCGCAAGTTTGGCCTCGGTCGGGTTCGGCCAGTTCAGCTATGGTTTCAATCAGTGCTCCGGTTGCTGCGAATGGACCGCAGGTTGGATCATCTTCTATGTCGGCCAGTCCTGCGACGGGAGCTGCGGACGCTTCGATTTCGCCTACGGATCCCATTGTGGCCTCTGGGCCCTTGGGCGAAGGTCCTGCTTTTAAGGCGGGCCTAGACGATGCCGACCACGCCCCGTTCGATGACCTGGAGCACATGCTGGAGGCAGACTCAGCTTGAATGGCACAGGTCGGCTATTTCCCCAGATGGCCAAGGATGTGTTTCCCCGGAGCTGGGGACACCGGCAGGTCGGAGGGCGTTGTCATCTGGCGTCAGATCGCAAAGTCCTAGTGTGCCACATCGGCTACCAGGCTCCGTCGCCACGGGCGCCAGGTCGCAAAGTCCTGGTGTGCCATTGCGGCTGCCAGGCTCTGTGTCGCCACGGGGACCAGTGGGTCCTGCTGCTGGCTTTGTCCCTGTCTCGGCGGAGGAGGTGCGGCAGCCGCGAGGTCCGCGGGCCCTCCGAGTGCCACGAGCCCCCGTCTGGGGGCTGCCGCTGGCGCGAGGAGCGGGAAGCGCGCCGCTGCTGGCGGGGCAGCGCGGGCGGGATCCGACCGCCACGAGGGACGGCGTGATGGCCAGCGGGGGCAAGGGAGCAGCTCTCTGAGCAGCCTCAGGCCCCCCCCCCAAGGCAGGCGCAGCCGCGCGACCGTTCCATTGGTGCCGTATTCTCCGCTTCCTCCGTGCCGCCCACTATCCTCCCAGATGGCCTGGGACGTGTCTTCCCTGGGCTGGGAACAACGGTTTTTCGGATAGCATATTCGACGAGTTCCCCAGATGGCCAGGGATGTGTCTCCCCTGGGTTGGGGACAACTGCAAGTCGAATAGCGGCTTCGGCTACTTCCCCAGATGGCCATGGCCAGGGAGGTGTCCCCCCCTGGGCTGGGGACAACGGCAAGTCGGATTGATTCCCCAGATGGCCAGGAATGTTTCTCCCCTGAGCTGGGGACAACGGCATGCCGAATGGCGGCGGCGGCTGCTCATCCAGATGAGCAAGGGCATGAGTTGTTGCTGCCACCGACCATGCACATTCGCTCGGTCCGACCAGATCTGGTAGCACCTCTACCTGTTGACGACGGCTCCTTCTCGCTTCTGTATGGAAACATGTCAGAACGGGGCCCGGATGCACGCAAGTTCCTCAGCAGCACGTCCTTCGCCGTGATTTGTTTTGTTCAGATGCATGTACTGCAGTCCAAATTGTCTGACAGAGTCGACGAGATTTTCGACGCTGGCGGCTGGAAGACGGCCTACACTGGCAGCAAGCCCACGGGCAAAGGTGGCTCGTCGGGCGGGGAGTTAGTCGCGGTTCATAAGCACCTGGCGTCTACTAGCTTCCAGGGCATTCGCCAGGCTGCTGCAAGGCACGGCAAGCCCACCCATGCCGAGGTTCTGCACCCATGGCGTTGCATCTCAGCAGCGGCAATGTGGTTATTGTGTCACTCTACCTCTGGCTAGGGTTAGCCACGTCAGGTCACAATCAATATATGTTGCTCAGCTTGGGAGCTTCTCTGTCGGCCCTGGCGGACCCCTGGATAGTTGTTGGAGGTTGGGATCTGGAGCAGCCGGCATTTCTTCGCACTGGGTGGCCTGCCAAGCTATTGGGCGAGTTGATCTGCCCTGATGCGAAGGTCACTTGCGACAAGGCAGCTCAGGGCTCGTTGATCGATTGCGCGCTGGTCAAGCAAGGCGCGGCAGGTAGGTGCCGTGTCCGCTGCTTTGTTTCGGTTCCATGGAAGACGCACATAGCCTTGCAGGTGGACATTCTTGGGCCCAGCAAGCGTCGTTGGCATCGGAGGCCAGTCACAGCATCAGCTCCCCCTAGAAAGAATATGAAGGACAAGAAACACGCAGATCCAAGCAAAGCGCCCATCAAGAAGCAGGAGGTGTTTGCCCGCAGGTGGGCCAAACTACCAGCTGAACTCCAAGCTGCATTGGACTTGCTGCATCAGCCTCCCCAGTCCGAGCCAACGGACGAAACCGACCATTTCATGTCACATCCCTGGAGGAGCTTGGCTCCGCTCGGGGATATTGCCAAAAGCGCTCTTCATCTGCACTGTGCGGGCGAGATCAACGGCTCGGGCTCGGCGAAGATCACGGCTTGCTACAGCCAGTGGGCTACCGAGACGGAGATGACCTTCAGTGTTCACCATAATCAGAAGGATTTCGAGCCCTCGGGAGGCCCAGGCCCTGGGCTCAAGTGGCAGCTATCCCAGGCCGCCCCATGTCGCGCTCACCTCGCGGACCCTGTAGGGGGGCAGCGGGGCA